ATACATATATATATATATATATATATATATATATACACGTATATATATTATATATTTATTCATTTGGTAGCATTCGTTTTATTGTTTGCTCCGTCGATGCAGTATTCGCAGTGATTCGATTTAAAAACGCAACATTCCATACGCGACATTCTTCGCCCGCGAAAGAGCATTTTCCTTTCACTTGGTTTCCAATAATTTAACAGATCTCATTGTGCCTGCCGGAGTTTGTCATTCTGTCGATAATCATAGTTGATTTGACGGATGCCTACGCAATCGTGCATAGCCATTGAGCGCTACTCTTTTTACTTCAAACTCATGACACATATCAGAGATGCAAATCTTCATAAATCAATGTATATTTACACGTATTCTAGATTGTTATGGCAAAATTGTCCCATTGTCAATAGCGTGAAAAATCTTGCGATATAACGTTCCAAAGAGAAAAAAAAAAAGAGAAGAAAGAAAGGAAAAAATAAGGGCAAGTGTCCTTCCAGATGGGTGCCTGTGCTTATCTTGTACCAATTTGCATTTTATTCATTGTGTCTTTTTTTTTTTACGTTACTTATTTGCGTATACATTTTAAGAATTTTAATTTAAATTTTAAGAATTTACGAAAGATATTGCTGATTCTCTTAATTTTAATATCGAACGGTAGGAATACGGTAGGATGCGAAAAGTACTTAAATTCGTAGTTCGATAGGGCGTAAGAAATATGAAGAATACATGTGATTCTTTTTTAATCCAACGAACGCAGCTGCCTCGCGAATAATCGCGTGTGTGATGATTTGTTATAAGTTTCTTCAGTAATCTGAGTGCCAATGCGAGCATTTTGTTTGTTGCATTTACGAGATGCCTCATTCGATACGATAGGGATAAGCGATCCTCGTTGATTTTAACGAGTAATATCACCGAGCTACGGACAAATACGACGGACGTACAAGCCTAATTCGACAACGCGTTTCTCTCGTCGAGCCATTTATTTTCATCCCCGCTTATCGAAGTATATATTTCACCCCGGGATATCTTCGAGACGGTGCTAATGACGCGATGTGTGATATGTCATAGCGTAACATGTATATATTATATATATATATATACATATAGGAATGAGGCACGGCGAGAGAGAAGCATTCATGAGGGAAACTTCCGTTCTGGTCCTAAATATGAAAGTCTCATGGCAGGACGATAACGCTAGGTGTGCATAGGCCGCTTTAAATGACAAGAGCATTAGCAGCTTCATTCGGTACATACAACCGCCAGTCGTGTTGAATATGAAAGAAAAAAAAAAAAGTTTTATTTTTTATGAAACGGAATTTTAAGTAAATATGGTAAAAACGTAACGGAAAGATCCTAGATATACGATAGGAGATACGAGATGCTATTAATTTTTTATATCAGTATTCCATAAAGTATATTTAATATTTTAACAATAGCGGCCTCTGAAAGCTAATTCCTCTAATCGATC